CGCCCGAATATAACTGCGTGATCATGTGACACCGCGTGGACTTCCGTTGGATGTCATGTGATACTGAGCCCTAAGGCTAGCATTCTATTGCATCGTGTATATATGCCAATTTTTTTGACATACCATCGAGATGAAGCCTTCTTCCATTTTTTTATATAATAATTCTGAAGAAGGCTTCACTTTCAGTTGCATATTCATTTGCTTTCCTTTTACGATTTGCTTACTAGGTTGATTTACGCCTCTTTTTACATCCTACGAAAAAATAATTGCGCCAATAAAAGTATCCATACTTGAGCACATACTAGCATTAGGGTAGTCTTCTTCCATTTTTATATAATATAATTCTGAAGAAGACTACCGAATACACATACCCAGATACATACTAGTAATAGGGTAGCCTTCTTCCATTATTTTATATAATATTTCTGAAGAAGGCTATCTGAATACACATATCCGGATACATACTAGTGATAGGGTAGCCTTCTTCCAATATTTATATAATAATTACAAAGAAGGCTACCCTAAATATCACCTACTAAGAATCAATTTATCTGCGATTTTTTTGCTAATTTGCTATATATCTCTTTTGCAATCATCGAAAAAAATAAATTAAACATTTCAGAATTATATTGGAGTATATAAAGTTTTGCCTACTGACACCATGCATACCTCAACTATTTACCAAACTAATCACACTAGATCTGGCCCAACGCTCGCCCGCTACGACGGCGCCGAGTCCGATGAATACTTAAATGACTTTAGCAGTTGTACTGATAATGGATCTAACTTAGGGTCAGATAATTATAATAACTACGAGTCTAATTATAAGTCAGATAATGAAGAAGCTCCTTGCATCTCATCTAGCATTACCATGTCTCAATCAGTTCAACTACTAAATGCAGATGAGCAAAAGGCTAATGCGACATACTCTTTAAGACAAGAAAAGTTCAATGATAAATTTTCTCCTAAAGATTTGGTAAGTGCCATTCGGGAAATTCTCTCATCACCGCCTAGAGATATGTCAAATGATAAAGGCTCACTAGATTACCTTCCAATCTATTCATTTCTCTTTCCAAATGAAAAAGGGTCTAGTTTATATAATGCTTATGATCGGGATGAAGTGGATAATAAATTAGTTATCAAAATTGACCAAGATGGTGATTGTGCCCCAAAGTTTTCCGTTGCAGATGACATTTCAGAAGTATATGGTTTACCTGGGATTCACGAATGTATTAATGGCCAAAAGCCTTTAAGAGCTGTGATTGATATCGATGCATCGAAAGAAGATATGGAAACAGCTAGTGTTATGGGACAGAAAGTATTTATTTGAATCTGTTGCTCTTTCATAAGAGCTTTGTATCGAATTCTTGACTGTGGTTGGGAAGATATTCTCAAAGGATTAGTAATTGCTACATCATCAGACTCTAGCAAGTGTAGCTACCATATTTTATATGCACCGGCTCTTCTTATTGATCATCGTGAACTCAAAGCATTCACAGAATTAGTATATACCATAACCGGTGAAAAATTCGGCAAGTTTATTGATCGAAAATTATCTGGTCAAAATTTTAACCTTCGTCTTATTGGTTCGGCAAAAAAAGGTTGCGTAAAGCGCATTCTTCAATTTTCTTTAGATAATGGCTGGAATGAATTTGATCACGTTAGGGTTCAACCGCCTTCTAGTTTGAAACTTGAATTAAGACCTCGGATGCTTAGTGAAGAAAAAAATAATAATCCATTAAAAATAATCGTAGGTCAAGATGTATTGCAAAAATACGCGAAACTTGTTTTGCAAAAGCATTATAACTATCTTAGGAATTGGACTATTGAAGAAAAGGAAGAGACAAAAGAAAACTTCGTATATTTCAACCGGAAAGGTCCACTAGAATGCCCACTATGTAAACGTATACATGACAAGGATCAGCGGTAGTTCGGTCGTGTATATGCCAGCAGTAGATCATTCATTGTAAAATGCTTTCGGCAAGGAAGTGATGAACCTGGGGAAGTTTTTGAATGCGACCCATCTATTGCAGAAAAAATTCAGAAAGAAAATAAAAATATATCTTTGGCGTCTAGCATTCGCAAGATAAAAGGCCCAGGTTTTCCTAAAGCCTTCATAAAATTCCCATCTTGGGTCAAGTATAATGAACCCCTTACAGCGACAGAAACATATAAGGAGAAATATGTAAGACCA